TTGTATCCGTGCTCTTTCAGTGCATGCTTGGCATGGCCACATGCTGCGCGTGGGCCACATGACTCAAGTCAGGTACCGGTGCGCGGCACAGTCGCTATTCACAGGCCCAGCGTCCCTTCAAGGAGTTGAAGGAAGGGGAAGAGGAGGTCGGGATTTGCATTGCAGATTTGCAGAAGCAGTGCTGTGGCTGTGTGCTTGCGAGGGTGTCGGCAGCAGGTGCTACATCATCGGTCTCAGCTGTTGATACCTCTCAAAGAAAAAGACAAAGGCAGAGACACCAGATCGGCCCGAGCCCGAGATTTAGCCACGCCTCGAGCATTGCAGCGTGGACTTCGACACGAGGTTCTAACGATATACTTCAACCTACCGGATGCTTCTTGGCAAGTTTCAGCGTTTGGGAGGGGTTTCGTGATTTCCCTAGCCAAGGCTTACAATCCTGCGCAAGAGTCGGGGCGCTGGCAGTACGAGGACGGGACCCAGCTAGAGCTGGCCATGAGCAAGCAGAGATGCAATTAACTTGTAATTATTCGTGCTGTTGAAGGGGTGCCTATATTATGCAGTGTCACCAAGATGCCGTCGTGAAGTGAGTGCAAGAACAGACCCTCGCTGTCGGTGTGACGATGTGTGACGCGTGGCGGAAACCAGCGAGGCAGCCAGGGGTACTCCGATGCGTGTTTTCAGCACAGCTCGCAGGAGAAGCTGGGCGAGGGTGGCTTGGCTGTGGTCTACCGCGCCCGCGATGCCCCTTGCCTTTTGCAAAGAAAGGGCGCAGCCTTTCGGACGGACGCAGAGAGGCGGGGAGGTTTGGTTTTTGTTTCTTTTCGGGCTCTCAGGTCTCAGGATCCCTGGGCGAGGTCGCCGTGAAAGTTTCCAAGTTCAAGAACTTGCCGCTAGTCGCTTGGCTGCAGAGATGTTGCGCCAAGGCAGGCATGGGAGTGTAGATGCAGTTGACACCGCATTGACACCAGGTCTCCAATCAAAATCGGCATGTCTACGCTTTGCATCGCGAAGCACAGTGGTCGATGAAGTGCCTGCACAACACTGAAGACCCCCGCTACGACGAAAAAGGCGCTCGGGAGTGGGGGCAGCTAAAGCCACAGCATGATGATCGCCAACGCTGGCGATTGTGGGAACGGCGATGGCTTTTTGGACTACTTGCATCATTCCTTCTCCTTCTACTGCTGTTCCTGCTTTAGCCGCTGCTCCTGCTACTGCCACATGTCCGGTCCACTCTGCTAAAGGGTGTTGTCAAAGACGCATGGATCTGGAGTTCGCAACTTTGCGAAAGCAGCACCGCCGCTGCCAACCACCACCGCCACCATCACATTCATCGTTCTAAGTGTACTGCATGCTTATTTATATCTGCAAGGGGAAGCATGGAGGAGAACCAACAGCAAGATGACACGCAGGGTCTGGAGACATGTGGCGCGCCGTGAAGTCTTGTGCAAGTCGGAGCCTCCCCCGTAGGAGCGGGGCTCTTCGCGAAGTACTTGGAGGATCACACCGGTGCGCCCTGGTTTTCCTTGCGGGCAGTTGTTTCACAAAGCCTCTAAGCCCTAGGACATCCTAGGACTTTGCGCCTTTAGGCCGCATTATGTCATTATTTGAGATCCCGCTTGTTCACTGGTGAGATTGTCAAAAGTGGCTTTCCTTGGTCTGCAGCTGGGCAGGCTTTGATGCGCACGACGATGTCAGCTTCGATGCCACGAGGCTACAGGGTCGCTGCTCGCATACTGAGCCCGTGCTCGGCAAGCACTACCCATAGGCCCCTAAGTGGTTCCTTTTTATGGCTTATAATTAGAATCCTATAAGGTAATCCCAAAAAGGAACTACTTAGGGGCCTATGGGTAGCCATGCTGGCGCTTGGAGGCGGAAGTTTGAAGATCCGGAGTTTGCGTTGGCATCCCAGATGCTCCCTCCTCGAGGGCTGGAGCCAATTTCAGCCCTTGGAGGTGGTCGAAGCACAGCTTCGAGCCGAAATTGGCACGTGAGCCTTACGTGGCATCCTGAGATGGGCTCATGAGGCTTATTCAGACTGTGTATTCACCCGGCGAGCACCCATTTTTGGCAAGCTTTGAGCGCAGGTGGTTATGGAACTGGTGGAGGCCAAGCTTCTTCAGTCTGCGATCGACGCGAATCCTCCCTTGGACTTTGCGGAGAAGCGCACCATCACCAGGCACAGGGCACCAATGTCAGAGCAGTCATTGCACTCCGTTTTGCAGCCGGTGCCGCAGGCAATGTGTGGATAGCCTCCTGTACCTTTCCAAATTTGACGCGCTGCATCGAGATTTCCGAGGCCTGTGCTATGAGTCCAGGTCTAGGTCTGCACCTGGTTGCAGCTGCAAGCGCTTGACCCAGAGGCTGCAACATCTTCCTTCAAGGTCGTGGAAAAGGGTGCCAGCTGAAGGTCATTGATCTTGGCTTCATGATTTCTGCAGCTTGCAGTGCACCAGGTTGCCCATTTGCTTTTCTTTGCAAGTCCCCGTTGAACTGAAAGAAAGAAGCACCCAAAGAGCCTTCAGGCAGATGCGCACCAGGAAAAGAACCCCAACATCGCAGTTCGCTGTGCCTGGCAAGGGAACAAGGCCCGCCTGGCTTGTTTCGAGGCGAGTTCTTTTTTTTGTCTTCTCTCGGAGCTGCAAAAACACAGCGAAAGGAAGGACCCATAGGCCCCTAAGTAGTTCCTTTTGTGGTTTATATTTGGAATCCTATAAGGTAATTCCAAAAAGGAACTACTTAGGGGCCTATGGGGAGGACCCTTAGAAGTCCCAGAGGCCCTGAACCCTAGCAGCGGAGGCAGAACTCTGCGGAGCCTTGCCTGCCCTTTAAGGAACCTATGATCCCTTCTAGAACCCTTTTGAAGGAGCTTATGATTCCTTTTTTTGCGAGTTCTGAGAGCAACGCCCTGCGAGGATCAGCGCATCCGCTTCGATTGGGCGCCGCCGGAAGTGCGGACCAAGGAGGTCCGGAATTTCGGCCAGCCTGGCCCCCAGCTCTTCCCCAAATGAAAGGGAGCAGTAGCTTGAGGAGGGCTTTGAGGGTTTGTTTTTTTTGTTTTTGAGGGTTTTTTTTGGGGGGGGTCCAGGCCGGGCAGTTCCTTTGACATCTTCTCTCTGGGCGTGCTGCTCTTGAAGATACTACGTGGCCGAAGCTGGACACAGGAGCTCCGCTGCTTCCGCTCAATGCAGCTAGGCAGAGGCTGACTTTAGGCCCGTCCGCTTTGTTCTCGGAGGACCTGGTGAACAGCCGCGACATGTCCGAAAAGCTCGTATCAATTACAGCCGACATCAAAGAGCTGCAACCAGCTTGCACACAAAAGCAAGAAGCAAAAACACGACAATCAATGTCGTACTGTCAACCAAGGCGGCTCCCTCCCCAGCTCTTCCGCCGAATGCTTGACAAGAACTCGGAGAACAGGTGGCAGAGATGGCTGGACCGCAGACTGCCCCGAATCTGCCGCGCTGCGAGGCCCACGCCCAAAGATCTCTCCGAGGCGTTCGTCGAGCGGCCGAAGCGGCGGAAGGCGGAGAGGCCAAGCCGAAATCATTCTCTTAGCACGTTCCTTCGCACACGCCTTTCATCGCGTCTACAGGGTGACGCCGCTGGTGCAGGTTCAGGTGGGCTACGCATGACTCGACCGAGCTCAGAGGTTGTATGCCCTGCATTGTCCCGCATACAGGATAAGAACCTGCTGATTCCAGTGACGCCCCCGAGCGACGGGGGCATGGGCGTGGGCTATGCACGCGGGGGTACTCCTGGCATGATTGCTCGGGCGGAGAACGGTACAATCTGACTCTGCTTGGCCAGTCTTTTACCAAGACCACCCGGAGCTGCGAACGCCGCCGGAGCTGCCGCCGCCGCCGCGGTCAGCGCCGCCACCAGCGTCGGCGCGGTCAGCACCGCCACCAGTGCCGGTGAAGTCAGCACCGCAGCCAGCGCCGGCGCGGTCAGCACCTCCGCAGCCGCCTCCGCCACCGCCCCCGCCACTGCCGCCGCCAGTGGCACCGGCACCGGCACCGGCACCTGCACCGGCACCGGCGCCTCCATTGGCAGAGGCAGCAGGGGAGCGTCGGGTGACATACGGAGCTTTCGCTTCTTTTTTTTTCTCCTCTGACTCTGCAGGTGCCTCTAGCAGTGGCGTTTCCCGCTGGGTCCTTGCTGGCAGAGATCGCCCACGGCCCCAAAGACGCCCCAATGACCCGCCAGCAGCTGCCTAAGGAGGTCTCTGAAAGTCAAACCCAAGCAGCAGGGCCTCTTTTAGCGCTCCCGAGGATGTCCACGCCGGTGCCGGCAGCGTGCCGATCTGAGAGCTTATAAGAGCCTGAGTGGCCCCCTTTTCGCGTGCGGCCTCCCGCAGGCAGACGCAGAACGCGGAGCAGAGGCCGGCGGACCTGGGGAAGAGGAGGTGGAGACCGGAGCCTCGAGCCTCGCTTTGTTGGCGGCCTTTTTTTTTTGGGCGGGCGATCGCAGGCCCTCCACACCACCAACGCCGCCGGGCCAGCGGAAGTCGCCACGCCAGGTGCGGCTTGTGGGGTTACTCCTGGCTCTGATGACTATACTCTAGTGCTTTCACGTAGGCGGACGGTTTCTGTCCTGATCCTTTCTCGCAGCAGACGTTCCCTTGTCCGGTTGGCAAGAGGCTTAGGACCTCATCAGCGAGTTTTGTGCCGAGGACCGGCAAGCGCCACGTGGAGATCGCAGGCACGTTTGGAAGGATGATACTGTAACCTAGGCAGTCTTGGCAAGATAAACGTTGTGCGCCAATTGCAAGGCCCACTCCTTGCCCAACTGGGGCCTATGTGGACCCTGTACACATGTGCACACCTGCGCTCAGTGTCGATCGTCTCCCAGGCTTGAGACTACCTGTCAAGTGCAGACCAGAAACACGTCGGCGAATTACGGCATGAATACACGCACAGTCACACAGACCACAGCATGCACGGCATGCATAGGTTATTGTTGCATCTCTAGTTGCCTTGTTCCTTTTGCAGCCCGATGCTATGCTCTTCCGAGTCTTCTGGCCCAGCCCAGGCGATCAGACTGGAGTGTTGGTTGGATGGTGGCTCACAGAAGAGGGCTATGTAGTGAAGGATGCTGGAGAGGCGGAGGTTCGGGCAGCCTTCGTGGCTTGCATCCGGCCCTCCCTCTCTGAAGCCGAGTCTCAGCTTGGCATGCCCAAGGTTTTGGGACATCCTGAGATGTCCTGCCTCGCGATTCTCGGAGATTCCCAGGCTGGAGCGGAAGCCGAGCAACTTAGGACCCAGAGGCCCTGGATCCGCAATCGTTGCGATAAGAATCGGAGCCTGCGTCTTTCTGTGTCTGGGGCAAAGATCCCCGCGCCAACCTCGGTCCAAATCGTCGTGTATCATCTTCCCGCGCGACGAGGAGTCTTGACTGAAGCAGTCCTCGGCGTGCGCCCGAAGTGGCTGGACGCCGGAGGAGCTTCCTCTTCTGTGCCAACCCAGCTCGAAGCTGTACTGCCTTTGCTCGATCTCGCGCCTGAAGTCTCAGAAACCACCGGAGCCTTTCAGTCTCTCTCGGCGGAGCGGCCCGGCGCTGGCATGATCCGCTGGGTGCTATCCTGTGCGAGCAGCGCTTGTGCCGTTTGCAGCAGCTTCAGCGGACTTCTTCTTGGCTGCTTCAGCTGGCGATTGGACCGGAGTGCTGTGATTAGCCAGCTTCAGATTCGGCTGCACCTGCAGTCGCAATGGCTGGCTTGCCAAATCTGTTCGTCGTCCGAGGGAGCCCGGGACCCTGGCCCCCGTGCACGTCTTGCGCTGGCTGCCTTGGTCTTCTCCTCCTTGGCCGATGCCCTTCTGGGTGCCTTGGTCGTCAGCGCCTTCTCATGGCTCGGTGGCACGTGCGACATCTGCGACATGCTGACGCCGGCAAGGCTTCATCGGTGGGCCTACGAGGTCAAGCTCGTGAACCTCGTGACCTGGCTCATGGGTGCGCCTGCAGATTTCAAGCTGAACCGACAGCTGACCTCCTTCGCGGGACACCTCTTCCTCTCCATGTTCTCTTTGTGGGGCCGCTGGGTATTACAGCTGCTGCTGGCCGCTTCTGGTGCTGTCCGGATGCTGTGGGCGCTCCACTACGTCCGGTCTTTCGACTCTGTTTTGATTATTTTGGGGTTCTCTCTGGGCTTGTCAGGCCTGGTGGCTTGTGTCATGGATTTGATCGCCATATTTTCGCTACCCCTCTTCGTGGCCTACCTGGGAACCTGCTTGTGCTGGAAGATGGCCACAAGGTCGCTCTACACGTTGAGCTTGCTGTTCCAGGGTTGGAAGCACAATATCCTTCGATCTCGGATTGACCACCACAACTTCGACGTGGATCAGTTGCTCATCGGAGTCATCCTGCTGTCAATTGTGGTGTTCCTCTTGCCTTCGCTGTTCATGTTCTACAGCTGCTTTACATGCTCATGGCTCTTGGTGCTGGTGGCCCACTACGCCCTCGGCCTGCTGGTATCCCTCTCTAACCATCAGCCGTCTTGCCTCGTCGCCCTGGAACCCAGGGCTCGGCGCCTCATGCTCCAGGTGCTCGAGGTGAGTCCTTCGCAGAGCACGCTGTCCCTGAGCCTGCTACCGCCGGTGGGTGCCGAAGGCCCAGCGGCTGGCCTTTCGAAAACTCTCAAGGGGGCCTTTCTGCTGAGCCCCATCACCCTCAAGACCTGGCTGAGCTCGCTGCTTTTCGGCGAACCTCTGCCTCTCTGCCGCCTCCAGCGCCCGAGTCCGCTCTCTGAGTCGGAGCCGGCACGACTCGCAGAGGTGCTGAGACTCATCTGGAAAAGGCAGCGCATCTCTCGGGAGCATTCAGGGAGGCGTTCGAGTCGCCTAGAGCCGAGGGAGTGTGCTTAGCCCCCGCTTGCCCAGGGCTCGCAGCCGTTCCAGCCGAGGCAGACAGAAGAGAGGGAGAGGATGCGCCGGTCGTTGCTTTACCGGCTTCTGCGTGCCGAGGCCGCGAAAGGCGACGGTCTCTCAGCAGAGGCTGGAAGCGTGGCAGCATGGTGCTGCTTCGCATGTGTCAAAAAAGCACAAAGGCGTTTGTCACCTGACAGGTCGATTCAAGCGTGGTGTTCGCACGTTGGACTGAGAGTGAAGATGGCCGTAGACAAATTTCGAATCTCCCAACCGCGAGCAGTCTTCAGCACACGACCGAAGACCTCCGAGTTTGTACTTGGCTGTAGAAGGGAGACAAGGAAGAAAGATGGTAGAAGGGAGTGTAGCTGTGCAAGACTTGCACGAGCATCGCTCTCGTAGATCGTCGAACTCCTGTCCCTTTCGCAACCACTTGACCAAGCTGGTGCGGGCGCATCGGTGCGCTGCAAAACTGGCTTTCTGGAATTTGAAGGGTTTCCACAAGGGCTGAGACATCTCAAGAACTCTATTGCCACTCAGGATGGACAGCTGGACTTCATTGACCGCGCACATGCCTCAATGCTGCCTTGCGTGGTATGCCAATGCCCTTCGTTGTGTGGCCACGGAGTCTTCCAGCCGTCGGCTCAGTCAGCCAATAAATGTGCAGCATGCGTAGCGGGGCGGGCAGCAGGAATAGTTGTAAACTACACCAACCCCCCCCACCCTGGGTCTGAAGGGCATGCAGGCTGCCCCGGCGACTTCCAGGATCCGCACGGCGCCTCTCCTCCGCGCTGCCGAGCCAAAGAAGCCGGCACCGCGAGCGCATGACCAGGCCGGGACCGGGACCCTCAATAAGGTCCCCTTTAAGGGAGCCAGAAGTAGGGAGGTGTGGTGAGGGGCAGTGATGGGAATGGGAGAGTGTCGTGTCATGCTGGAGGAGCGAAGCGGTTCCTTTTCTGCGGTGCCCAAAGCACTGGCACTGCTTGCGGCCTTATCTGGTCGAGGGAGGCAGCCAGCAAACGATACACGGCTCGGTTTGGGGTGGAATTCTTGGAACTTTTTGGCCAGGTCACTGGCGCTTCGTGCAGAGGAAAAGGTCCGTGATGCCGACGACGCCGTGGCCGAAGCCCGGTGGCAGCTGGACCGGCGTTTCGTCGGCATTGCCCTGCCGGCCGGGCCATGTCAAGCAATCATTGGGCCAACCTGTGCTATTTCACAGATTCAAAAAAGAGCAGGTCACACAAACAGGGCCCAGATAGTGCGCAGCCACCTCTAAGCCCAGCCTCCCCTCCCTGCGAGGCCTTCGCACAGCTTCTGACAGAGCCCTTGGCGACGGTTGTTGACACTGCATGCTGCGGACGTTTGGGTGTGGCCGCATTGGGAGGCAAACGGATTCGGAAGAAGCACTGCCCGAAGACTGTATAAAACCTTCGGTTGTAGGAATGGGTGTCGCCGTCTCCGCCCAGTACTCCCTGACGAAGACCTTCAATGACTGCCATGCTTGCTTCGAAGACTGCATCTCGTTTTTTGTTTTGGGCTGTGTCATGGCTCCATCTCTGCTCGTGCGGCAGGACCCATTGCTGCGGGTGACTGTGTCTCTGGTGGCGACCACGTCCCCCGAGGACCTGCCCCAAACCGCCTCATCAAGACTTGGACTTGGACTTGGTGTTTGATCCGGAGGATCGGCGAGAGGCGTGGGGCATGGACAGGGAAGCCTTGGCACTGACGATTGGCGACAAGTCTCAGTGCTCCGGGCTTTGTCTCTCGGCAGGCCGTGTCTGCAGTGGTCTTGTTGGCGCTTCTCCTGGGCTTCGTGCAGGCCTGCGGCGAAGGGGAGCGCCAGGAAACATGTGATGGGAGCGAAGCCAAGCCGAAGCCATCCAACGCAGTGAGACTGTTCGAGGTGGCAACATTTGGAGTGGCCACAGGCCTTGCCATCCAGGGCATGGGTTCCATGGCTTGCAATGGAGTATTTCTGTAATGTTCTGCGTTTTGGTATTGTCCGGCAACAGTCTTGCAGCAAAAGGCGTGGATCCAACCTCGTCGATGTTCGGGCCAGCGGTGGCCTACCTACGCTTCCGGGCGCTGGGTGCACCCTTCGGCACCTTGCAAAACAATGGTGGAGCAGGGTTTGAATTGTGAACACCGGCCGGTGCGCATCCTCAGGCTCAATGCTGCTGGCTCTCACGGGCATCTGCCGCGGTTTGGGCGATGCCAGGCGGACGTGGTTTTTGCGTGGTCTTTGCTTCTGACAGACTGGCGCTGCTCGTTTTTCTGCTGATGACGACGACAGCAGCCTCCTTGACAGAACTCAGTCGGAGTAGCGAAATTCTGCTCCGACTCTGCCGTCGTCAGCATATCGGAAGAAGTTGCTACACACACCGATGCCAAATCCAAGATACGATTGCAGGACGCCCATGGTAGCCTCCGCGCTGGCCACGGCGGTGAACGTCTTCCTGGACCCGCTGCTGATCTTCGGCCTAGGCTGGGGCTGCGCCGGTGCGGCCGTGGCCACCGCAGCTTGTTTGCTCATCATACAACTACCCATCTTATCCCTCTTAGGGCCTTAGGGTTCCCCATGAAAGACTAAACTATAAGAAGGAGCCCACCCCGGCGCAAGATTCACTGCTCACCGCGGCGTTTCACTCCGCTGGCTGAGGTTGCTGCGCAGTTTGCCGGCGTCCTTTGCATCGCCTGGAAGCTGCGGGCCCTCTTCAGCGGGTCAAGGCGGCAGTTTTTGGCCTAAGCAGCTCCTCATGCTTGGGCGGGACTTCTATGCTGTAGCAGGGCTCCGCGATGGGCCAGCATCTCGGCGGCACTCCGGCGCTTCGTCACCACCGCGGGCGCTCCCGGGCCGCAATGGAGCAAGGGATGCTTATTTAGAGGAGCAGCACAGAGCTTTGGTGGCTTGGCTGCCTTGCACGCCGCAGGTGATGATCGTGAGGAATTGGGGCAAAGTCTTCTGCTTCACTTTCCTCGCCAGGTGCTCCCATCCAAGACACGATATCTCAGAGCTGAGAGCTTTCGGCTTGTTGAGATTGTCAAGAGACACTGGATGTGCACTTTTCCAGGCATGCCGCGCAGCAAGGAGCCATCGTAAGTGCTGCCTACAGCCTCACCTTTCAGCTTGGCTTTGCCACCTCTCAGGCAGGATCAAGTCCCTAAACCCTAAACCCTGAAAAAAAACCCTAAACTCTCATGGATCCTTAGCCATGCGAGAGGGAAAGAAGAACCCTTCGAGCACTCCTCAGCACTGTTCCCAGAGGTGGCAGAGTCGCTGGCGACGTCGACGCAGGTTTTGCTGGCCCAGGCGTTGCGCGATGACGGCTCCTTCGCCCCCCTGCCATTCGCCTGCATGGGAGCCGTCTGTGAGCACTGCTGAGAAACTGCTGCGTATTGGAGGTCTGCTTCGAGATCTGCTCGGCAGGTGGTTCTGCGGGGCTTGCAGGCATCGGCCACACCGATCTAGTGATTGCATGTCGGATAAACTAGGGGTACTGAATGGCGCTTGCAAGTGCTATCGAGGTCCAATCTTACTAGTGCTGTTGCTGTTGCTTTATCGGCCGCGCCGACTGCGGCGATGCAGTGACAGTAGTGTTTCGTTGCCTCTTGCTGTTACGACAGCACCATGCTGAACAGTTTCTGCTGTACCTGTTGTGCCATTGCCGGCAAGACTTCGCTGAATACTCCCTTTTGTTACAACCGTCAGTGTGCGCATGACCGTCTTTCTGTCACTGTAGAATATGTGCCTTACTTATGCGACTGCCGAGGGTAGCCAGAGTGTCGTTTATCGACGACCAGTGACTGGAGGCTTTGATGTTCGCTCACGAGGGCAGCGAGTCGAGAGGATGTAGCCAAGAGCACCAGGTTTCAGTGGACAGAAGCATGGGATCAGACATGCAAGAAGCCAAAAGCTACGTAGGACATTTGACTCGGGTCAAACCTTTGGATGAGGACCCAGACGTGTCCTGAGACTAGCGGCTCGAACTCCATGGGCCAAAACAGAAAGGATGAGCCGAAGAAGCCGGCACGCCCTTGAGACCGGAGATGGCTAGCCATAAATGAAGCAAGGGGTGAGTTCTGAAGCGGTGACGCGACACATACATACATATATATATATATATGTATGTACATATGTACATGTATGTTTGGACTTCAAAAGCCAGGCCTCCTTTTGCTCTCCCCCAGCCATGCGATGTAAGCCCTTCGAGTCCGCAGCCGCGGAGTTGGTCGACGAGAGCCTGCACCCTCTGGAGCAGCTGAGCATTCTGTCCGAGAAAGCCAAGCAGCTGACGAACGAGGGCGATGCAGACGCAGTGATCGAGTGCCGCATCAAACAGCTCACTTTGCAACGAGTCCTCTCGCATCTGCATCACTTCCCTCTGCAGCCCCTCATCCGGGCTCAGGCCGCTCTGGCCGAGGCCTACGGCCAGGGAGGTTACTTTCTGCAAGCCCGGGAGCACCTCAGCCAGGCGAAGGAGGTCTGCAATGGTGGGATCTATGATGATCGGCAGCACCTGCGGCTGCAGGCAGATCTCTTGGTGGCTGAGGGGTCGGTTCAGCTTGCACAGGGGCAACTGGAGGCAGCAGGGAAGACGCTGATGGAAGCTGCACGTTTGGGCCGCGAGACGCGAGGAGAGCTTGATGAAGAAGCCGCACATGTGCATCTTCTGCTTGGTCAGGTAGCCTCCCAGAGGGGAGACTTCGAGAAAGCCATCGATCATCTCTCTGAAGCCTGGGAGGTCCATGATCATGTTGATGGCAAGGCCGCAGAGCCCACTCTTAGAATCAGAATGCAGGTCGCGGAGGCTGAACGATCAGCCAACAGGTTGGAGGCAGCCGTGGAAACAGTGCAGGCCGTCGTGTCAATCCTTCAGCACGAAGAGCCGCAGAAGACGGCCTTGCTCATCAAGTGCAGCTGCCAACTGGCTGGCTGGCTTGAGGCTGACAAGCGGGAGGCAGAAGCATTGGAAGCATTGCAGGTGGCAGAGAGCGCTGCAGAAGGTCTTGGTGAGGAAGATCCCCAAGTTGTAGACGTGAAACGTGACATGGCCCTCCTCTACATCAAGCTCGGTCGACATGAAGAGGCGCTGCAGTACCTGAACGACGTGCACTACCTGGAACGAAGGCTCCATGGCTCGCAGTCCTCACAAGTTGCCCGGACGCTGAAAGCCCTGGGATCCGTGCACCTGGTCCTTGGGAAGAACGAGGAGGCCGAAAGCTGCCTTCGCCAGGCCCTGCGGATCTTCGAGATCGACAGCCACAATGCCGCGATCGTACGTGATATCCACGCCAAGCTGGCAAGCATCCCAGCCGGCGACGCCTGAGAAGCGGAAGGCCGAAATGTGGCCGACGGTCCCCGGCGTCCAGAATTGAAAGCGCGCGCTCCGTTTGGGGAAACAGCACATCTTGCCTAGACTTCTCTTCGTCACAGGGCTTCGAATCTAGAGAGCGATCTCGTGCCAAGAAGACAAGACAAGAGAGCTCTCAAGTCTTAGAAGTGTGAGAGAGAGAGATAGCTCTTCGAGTCTTCATTCCTCGCCGCCTTTTGCCCCCCTTTGAAACCCTCCCTTTGCAGAGGCGGGCCTGATGCTGAGTGCCGCCCTGGGCCTTGCGACCTTCCTGGCCAAGGAGCCTCCCCGCCCTTTTTATTCTGGAACCCTAAACCCCTAACACCCTGAACCCTAAATCCCCCCCCCATTTTCCTGGGATTTTTTGGAGTTTATAACATTGCGGGCCCCACTGCAGGGGGTCTCTTGCAGCATTGTGAGGACAGCGTCCTGCGCTTCCTCACAAGCTCTGGCCAGGTCCAGGCCAAGCGATTACGAGAGCGAACGGGAGCCTTCGGGCGAGCCTTGCAGCGGCCACGAGATTGCCAGGCTTTGGCCGGCGCGGTGATGCCCTGGGTGCTGGTGGCGCAGGCGGTGAAAGCCATGGCCTATCCCACAAACGGCGCTCTCATGGGAGCCCTGGAAGCTTGGCCCACGCATGGGTGCCAGTGGGTGACCGCAGATCTTTCCACAGTGCTCACGGGTGCATCCTGTTCCCACTATCCGTCTCTCTATCTGTCTGTGCATACATAGACATAGTATATACAAGAGCCTTCCCAGGATTGGCTCTGCTCCGCGTACATCCTCTGGATCGCCAGCTTCCTGGGGCAAGCGCTCTGCAGGCTCAGGGGAGGCTCGGATCCTGGAAAGCTCCGAAGGAGAGGAGAGGAGAGCAGAAAGGGGGACTGAGGGAAGGAGGCCAACTAATGTATAAATATACTTAACACAAAATATAACACAATGTATATATTTTACAAACATTCTGGAGTTCAGATCAGGCTCGGATCCTCGTGGTGCTCTGGTGAACCTTGGCTGGCCTTTGATCCTTTGCTTTTTGTCTCTTTGTCTCTTTGGCCTGTCGCGCTGCAAAAAACTTCGAGAAACGCCCAGGAGTCTATGGTTGGGACTCATTGGCCCTCCCGCCCTGTTTTTTTGCCTGTTTTTGAAGGCGCAGGCTTGGATCCAAGCTCACATTTGCAGGGCATGCCTCCTTGTGGGGATTGTGCCAGAGCCCACCTGGGGCGCACCCCTGCGTCTAACCCTGTGACAGGTTGGGGCAACCACCTTAGTATATAAATAAATAGATAAACAAATGAATAAATGAGTGTGTATATATATATACATATATAAGCAGCATGCTTGGACTCGGGGCTTTCTGGCCTATATCGACCGATGGAGTGCAGCCGTTTCAGATTGTTTCGTGCATTCCGCCGCCATGGCTTTCAAGTCACTTGGCCTGCTCTCTGCAGACCGTCGTTTCCAGTGGAATCTTGCGACCTAGTGCAGTGATACCAACGGTGGATGTGTTCTTCGATCTGAGGACCTGGGTGCTGCTTGTCTTGCCAGCATGGGCTTTGCAGCCGAAGGAGCTGGAGGATTGGTGGTCCGGCGGCAACTTTGGCCTTCGGACAAAAGGGAGCACGGTGAGATGAGGGCCTCAGCCCCAGGCTCGCGTCGCCGAACGGCCTGGCAATGACGGCGAGTGAGGCAGCTGATGCGGCCAACCAGCCTGTCCCCCAGTGAAACGACGGAAGCAACTTGTAGCCATGATTGGAGCCATGAGAGATTTGTCAGGCATTGGAATGCGCTTGCCCAGTGTGGAGTGGAAATCCGCAATCTCCAGTCGTTGAAGGACTTGAAAGACGTGTTCGAAGCCACGCAACCACTGCTAAACGCTCCAGCTGTTGTCCTAAACATGTGCCGCAAGATCTTTTGTGGACATCTCAGGACACCCTGTCAGACAAAGGCTCCATCGATCTGCCCCTGCCGGAGATCCGCTCTCAGATCATCCTCCTGGCGGAGCAGCACGTGGCCGGGGAGAAGATGCAGCAACTCTACTGGGCTTTGTCGGCTTCCTACACGCTGTGCCTTTGTCTGCATCCCACGGCAAAGAGTTTGGCTGGTTTTCTGCGGTGGCACTCGTACTGACAATCATGAAAGTCACGATCTTTGTGCTTCGGAGACCTCCAAGGGGTGGTGGCCTTGGCTTCCCGAAGGACCAGGCACAAACCATGATGCTCCTCCTGGCCTTGAAGAAGGTGGGGCCGCCGGGGGGGGGGGGGACACTGCCCCCAAAAGCCAGCCGCAGTCCAGGAGCAACGAAGCAAAGGTAAAGATTTCGTGTTGGTGTAGGGCACTGGACACGTGGAACGGGAGGTGGTGAGTGGCCGCGCAGACTAGCCAAGCCTGTCACCTCATTTTAAGCCAGATGCACAGCATCCCCAGCATCGTTTGAGACTGTATCCGAAGATTCCGAAGCAAAATCCGCGAGGCGGAGCCCGACCAGCTGAGGGAGCTCTACAAGGCAAGGAGTATAGAAGTGCTGCCAGAATTAGCCTGAATCAGGTGTAGTGAAATCCGTTCAGGTTCACATGGCTTGTTGTGCTGATCCAGAGGTGATGTATGGCTATTATGGACTTGGCTTCCCCAAGTCCCTGGCTCAGACTACGTCTGTACAGCTTGCTCAAGCTGGAGCAAACGCGGACCAATTCAAGGCTCCTGGTGCGTCTCTGAATGGGTTTTATGCTATGGGCAGTTTTTGAGTTTTGCAAAAACCTGGGCTTGCGTCTTTGAGTTTGTTTTGCCGTTCCAGCTTTTGTGCCTGGGTTCGCTTTTTTGTGCCTCTTTTCCCGATAGACCACGTACCTCGCCAACGCGAAGCGGGGTCAGTCCGTGGCCATCGCGGAAGCCTCGAAGGAGGCGGTCGTCCAAGATCTTGCAGGCCGGAGATCTTCGCGAGAGAGAGAGAGAGAGATATAGATATAGATATAGATATAGATATATATATATATACACACACACACACATATATATATATATAAGGGGGCCCATGGAACCGGGGGGGGTTACCAGCCCTTATGCCCGAAGGAAGAAGGAGAGAGAGAGATGTTTGCGCTTCTACGGGGGTTGTGTTGATGCAGGCCGTGGGAGTCGATTGGCCCAAAGTGAAAAAGAGCCGAACGGACACTGTTCTGGAAGAGTGGAGTTCGACCGGGAAGCGGTCACGTAGGCAGAGTGGATGACCCAAGTGCGACCTGACGGGGGATTTTCACTGGTCATGGTCTTAGGAGGGGTGTTTTCGGGCGGGATGAAACATATGTCCAGTTGGAGGAACACTTCTGCCTGTCCCCGACTAGGGGCCATGAAGACGAACAGACGCGAGCTGCGAGGGGTTAGCCTACGGGCCGGGGGTCGTTGGCCCCAAACCCCAAGCAAGCAAGCAAGCAAGCAAGCAAGCAAGCAAGAGAGATGTTTGGGCAAGGGGAGCTTCCCTTTGCCCCGAACCCTGTCGAAAGAAAGATGTTTGGGATTGTTGTGGAGATGTTTGTTAGTTCGTTGAGGCGTGGGGGTTTGTCTTTCCGGAAGGTCTGGTACGACGCTATGCCCTGGATGCCAAGCCTTACACCGCAAGCGAGTTCCTCCAGCACTATGGAGAAGGCACGGGGACATGCATACGTACATACATACATACATATACATACACCGATACACACATACACGCGCACACACACACACACATACACACATACATTCATACACACATATACACACATACGTACGTACGTACGTACGTACGCACGTACATATGTCCATCCATCCATCCATTCATCCATCCATTCATGCATTCACATGCATGCATGTATGCATGCATACATACACACACACAAATACATACATACTTACCTACCTACCTACCTACCTACCTACCCACCCACCTACCCACGTACGTACGTTCGTACGCACACTCATATATGTATATACGTATATATATATATCTACATTTATGTACATATTTTTCTGTATAGCTATGTATGTGTATATAGGTACATATATGTATATATGTGTGTGTATATGTATATATATATATATACACATACATACATGCACATACATACACACACACACACATACAGACATACATGCATGCATGCATGCATGCACAAACATCCATGCATACAAACATACATACACCCATACATGCATACATACATGCAAGCATACATGCTCACACACTCACATATGTATATGTATGTATGTGTATGTATATGTATATGTGTATGCATATGTTTCTGTATATGTTTATGTATATTTATAGTTATGTGTATATATGTTTATGTATATGTATAGTTATGTGTATATATATATATATGTATACATACTTACATACTTACTCACTTACTCACTTACTCACTTGCTCACTTACTCACTTTCTCACTTTCTCACTTACTCACTTACTCACTTACTCACTTACTCACTTACTCACTTACTCACTTACTTACTTACTTACTTACTTACTTACTTACTTACTTACCTACTTACCTACCTACCTACCTACCTACCTACCTACGTACTTACTTACTTACTTACTTACTTTCTTTCTTTACTTTACTTTACTTTACTTTACTTTACTTTACTTTACTTTACTTTACTTTACTTTACTTTACTTTACTTTACTTTACTTTACTTTACTTTACTTTACTTTATTACCTACTTACTTACTTACTTACTTACTTACTTACTTACTTACTTACTTACTTACTTACTTACTTACTTACTTACTCACTTACTCACTTGCTCACTTACTCACTTACTCACTTGCTCACTTGCTCACTTGCTCACTTGCTCACTTACTTACTTACTCACTTACTTAC